AGATTATGTCTTATCAACTACGTTCTGGCAAAACAAGTGTACGCTTGTGTTGAAAATTTGTGGACTCCTCTGCAAAATATGCATGTACAAAATATTCTGTAGTAGGGTAGGAGAGATAGTATAGGAGCTAAGGTATTTGCCGTGCTGCTTCTCCAACACTACATATGGTCACAAACACATACAAACACACGCACACATATATATGTATATTCCTGTATTCATATACATGCACAAATGTCATATGTAAATATATTCAACTCACATATATAAATATATATGTTCATATATTCATATATATGTATATTCATATATATTCAGGCAGAGCCTGGCAAGCTACCCATGGAGTATTTGATATGCCCAAAACAATAAAAATAACAGGTCTCATTCCCCTGACCCTGAAAGAGCCTCCAATATGGCAGTGTTGGGAAAGACAAGTAAGGAGAGGCTGCTAAAATGTGGGACAAATGGAGATGTTACTGGCGCCCACTCGAGTAAATCGATGAACAACAGGATGACAGTGATACAGTGATATGTATATATATAAGTACAGGAATGTGTATGAATGTATCAGATGAACAGATATAGTAGGATGACCAATTATTTTCATTTGGCATTTAAAGCCTTTATTCTGGCATTAGGCTAGATTTCCATCCTCAGCCTGCATTTACCAAACTCAGTAGATACTACTATTCCACTAGACATTTGCTGGCACATTGGAGATGGCATAAGCCGGTGTGTAAGCCCACCCGCTCCAGTGGCCACCACACTCCTATTAGCAGCAACCCCAACCTCTGCAGAGCGCAGCCCTCATCTTCTTTGGCAGCCACTGGTACAGTGAAAGCACTTTTCCCAACACTGATACTTGCCTGGCTTCACATTTGTGTGGCCGTCTCGGACTCCCCGCCCTAGACCAAGGACTGTCTTTATTGCTTAGAGCTGAACTTTTTTTTCCGACAGCAGCACCTATCACGGAGTCCCCGGACCAGACCCCCTATTCCCTGTGGTTATCCAAGTCTTCAATCCCCAGGGCCCAGCTTAGCACTCAAACCACAGCAGGCATTCAAGAAATGCCATGAAATTAATAAAATCCAACTGCTTTCTACCAAGCCAGGAAACAAATGATACTGAGAAGTCAGTCTGGAGCTAAGTGTCTTCAGCATTCCAGCGGAATCCTAAGCCCCCAGTGATGAGACAGGAGCAGGCAAGCGCAAGAGGACAGGCAGCAAAGCGAAAATAGTTGAAGGACCCAGAGTTGCGGGAAGGAGGCTGGCCTTCAGCACAGGGAGCAGAGGGACCCTTTAAATGGAGCAATTTCCTCCCAGGAGCCCCAGGAGACCTATTTCCCAGCAGTGGCCAGTGCCAGAGGGAACAAAGCTTATGCAGTCAGCTAAGTCACAATGAAACTCTGCCTTACCTCCAGCAAGCGACACACAACGGGCACTTTCACTTAGACATGTCCACAGAGAAAAATCAACTAGACAGAAGGGCTACATAAAGTCTTATCAGCATTTTTTTTTTTTTGCTCAACAGAGAAACATATTCATTTATTTTACAAAAAGAACAAAACCTGAATTGTGTGGGGGGAAATGACTGCATTCTAGCAAGCCTAAACTTTATCTCTGTATACATGTAGACAAGCATGTAATCTTTTTCTCACCTGTGTTTTTGTTTTAGCCCCTAGAAACTGAGAAATGAAGAGATGAGGCTATGAAGGTGACTAAATGTGGAATATGACAAGGGGAAGGTTCACAAGCATAATTCATTCAGCAACCATGGGTGGAAATACAGAGGAAATACTGATGCATCTCATATAAATATTGCCGCACTCAGGAAATCTGGAGTCTGACGAAAATTTTCCACTACAGTGGGCTCTAGAGAACTACTACTTGCAAAATTCGGAAGGAGGGTGTTAAACCTACCTTCAAAAGATAAATATTATGTAACAATGACAGCCTGTTTGCTTCATTTTCTACAAAAACAATGATCTTTAACAGATTTAAATCTATGTTTACTGACAACAAGGTAAAAATTTTTTACAAAATATCCCTTAAGCAATGAATACTTTGAAAACAAAAAATGACTTTAAAAGAAAAAGAGACACAATATTGCATTTTGGCACTAATTTTTTTTTATAACAATTCAAGATTGTTTTTGAAAGTTTTAAGGGCTCTTGACTTCCCCTACTGTTTTGTTTTCTTTTTTTTTTTTCCAAGATTTTTGTTTAGAAGGCTTCTACACTGTGGGGCAATATGAAAATGTGAGCTTTTATTATATTAAGTATACAAGTTATAGTCACATATCCCAAAGAACACAATACCATCAATTTTTCTCAGGTAGATTGGTCTGGGCTGAGAACTCTGGGGCCTTCTAAGAATGGGGGCGGACACATTCCACTTTCTGTAGCAGACTGAAGGTACACCTGATACCCTCTACCTTAGAAACCGCCCAGCTCCACATCTGAACCTCATCAAACTGCCAAGCCACTAAGTGGTTCCAGATCTATATAGCTCCTAGACTGTGCAGCCACATATGTGGCTGCATGACACCTAAACATTTCAAAGTATTCTCAGCCAAGTAGGAACACAGCAAATCTGATGCAAAAGTTGCTGAAATAGACTATGGATCAAACATGATGGCTGCTTAGTGCCTGTATTGCAAACCATAACACCCAAAAGGAGAGAGAAAGAGGGAATGTGTCTGTCACAGTGGCAGAGGGAGGGAGAGGGTGGGGGTGGCAGAAGGGACACTGGGAACATTGGTGGTGAAGAAAGGGCACTGGTGGAGGGATGGGTACTCAAAAATTTTTTGATTGAAACGTAATCACGAAAATTTGTAAGTCTGTAACTGTATTTCATAGTGATTTGTTAAAAAATAAAAAAAAGAAAAAAAGAATTTTCACACACACAAAAAAATCATACAAAAAAAAAAAGTTGCACAGGAGCTCACCAACCCAATGTTCCAAAGAACAACCAGCAGGCTACAACCAGCACCAACCCACACAACAGATCCTCAACAATGACTTTAGTAATATCATTATGAGGTATAACAATAATCATAAATTGACTTTTATTGATTTAAGTTTTGCTAATTCTATTTTCCTTTGTGTTGTAACAAGCAATATGAAGTAAATCAGTTTGTGCCTGGAAGGGGGCCAGGCTGGCAGGTGGTGGGCGGAAAACTAGGGACACTGGTGGAGGGAAGGGCAGAGTGCTGCTGGAATTGGCATTTAATGCCTGAAACAACTGTATTATAAACAACTTAGTAAATCATTGTGTTATGATAGCACTGAAGCTTTGTCCTCCTGTTCATCGATTTGCTCAAGCGGGCACCAGTAACGTCTCCATTGTGAGACTTGTTGTTATTGTTTTTAGCATATCGAATACGTCACAGGTAGTTTGCCAGGCTTTGCCACGCAGGCGGGATACTCTCAGTAGCTTGCCAGGCTCTACTAGAGGGACAGAGGAATCGAACCAGGGTCGGCTGCATGCAAGGCAAAAGCCCTACCCACTGTGCTATCGCTCCAGCCCTATGTTATGATAAAATTTTGTTTTTACATAAAGAATACAAATTACTGCTGAAAAGGTGGCATAAATGTTTCTAGGGACACTCCTTCACTGTTGGTGGGAATGTCGACTGGTTCAGCCCTTCTGGAAAACAGTATGGACGATTCTCAAAAAATTAGAAATTGAGCTCCCATTTGACCCAGCAATATCACTCCTGGGAATATATCCCAGAGAGACAAAAATGTATAGTCGAAGTGACATCTGCACTTGTTTGTTCATTGCAGCACTCTTTACAATAGCCAGAAACTGGAAGAAACCTGAATGCCCAAGAACAGATGACTGGTTAAAGAAACTTTGGTACATCTACACAATGGAGTACTATGTAGCTGTTAGAAAAGATGAAGTCATGAAATTTACATACAAGTGGTACAATATGGAAAGTATCATGCTAAGTGAAATGAGTCAGAAAGAGAGGGATAGACATAGAAAGATTGCATTCATCTGGGGGATATAAAGTAACAAAGTATGAGATTAATACCCAAGAATAGCTGAGATCAGCACCAGGACGATTACTCCATAACTTAGAGGCCAGCCGGGTATCCTAGAGGAAAGGGCAGTTCAGATAGAGAAGGGAGCACCAAATAAAGGATGTTTGGAGGATCCTCCCAGGAGGGGAGATGCATGTCGAAAGTAGACTATGGACTGAACATGTTTGCCACTCAATGCCTCTTTTGCAGACCACAACACCCAAAAGGAGAGAGAGAACACAGGGGATTGCCCTGCCACAGAGACAGGGGGGATGGGGGGATGGAGGTGGGAGGGATATTATCCATGGTGGTGGAAAATGGGCACTGGTGGAGGGATGGGTATCTGATCATTGTATAATTGAAACCAAAGCACAAAAAATTGTAAATCTACAACTTTAAAAAAAAATAAAATAAAGGGAAAAAAAAATGTTTCTATAAACAGAAAGGTCTGTCTTCTCTGCTGAGTCAGAAATCTGCTAGGTGGTCTATCATATTTGTGCTTTTCATTCAAAGCAGCCTGAACTGTTTCAAAAGACAAGCAAATATTAACAGGATTTCAACCCATGGGGACGGACAGTATAATGGGTATGGCCTTCTACGTGTCCAACCTTGGGTTCAATCCCCAGCATCCCATATAGTATCTTGAGCTCTTCCAGGAATAATTCCTGAGTGCAGAGCAGGGAATAAACCCTGAGCATCATCAAGTGTGGCCCAAAAAAGCCAAAAAAAAAAAAAAAAAAAAAAAAAAAAGGAACGATAACACGGCAGAGCCTGGCAAGCTACCCGTGACGTACTCAATATGCCAAACACAGTAACAAGTCTCATGATGGAAACGTTACTGGGCCTGCTCGAGAAAATTGATGAACAACGGGAGGACCGTGACCAAAAAAGATAATTAATCCACCTTGATAAATCCTTTAGCACATTATTATTGAAAATGAAGCATGTGACATTCTCTTAGCCTCTTTACCTGCAGATGGCAGGGAAACATTCCTGGAGACCTTTCTTTTTAACCAGTGATCCTTCCAGGCAATACATGATGATGTCCATGACCTGCACGAAAAAGACAGAGCAACATAAATAAATCTTGAAAGAGATCAACAAGTTGCAGAGATGTTTCCGGACCCCATGCCAGGCTGTCATCCAGGGCACCCAAAGACACCGTCCAGTTAAAAATTTACCACAGCTGGATTATCCCATTCAAAATTTTTGAATTCCTGGAGCACGTGGCTCAAACTCTACACCACTGATAAACCAGGAGTAGCACACCACACTGGATGGATGTACAGTAGAAGGCAACTAATTTCAATTAAGAAATTGTAAACACAGAAGGCTTAACCTAAAACAACATATTAGTATGTTGGCATTTGCCTTGCCTGCAGCTGACCTGGGTTCAATCCCTGGCACCATGCATGCCCCCGCCCAACTGAACCAAAACAGAGACAACAAAAACAAATCTACCAGTGGAGGAGTACCCGCAGGGTCAATCTCTTCTAAAAGGGCTTAATGGCTCCATGGTGAGATATAACAATATTCACACACTTTCATCAAAGGAAATATTTTTTGATCATTTTTAGCAAATTATAACAAGAAATACAAAATAAATTACTCAGGGTCTGCTATCAGGGCAGGCTTGAGGGGTGGGTGTAAAAATTGGAAATAATGGTGGTGGGAAGGTGCAATGGTGGTGGGACTGGTGTCAAAATATTTAATGTAAAAAAAACACGAACAACTTTATAAAAATAAATTAATTTAAAAAAAGAAAGAAAATGACAGAGCTACAGTGAATTCTAAATGCTTCACTTGCCAACTTCAAATGATTAACAGAGACTTCACTTGTTCACAAAAACTTTAGATAGTTTCATTTTAATATTTACTTTAAAACACCAGTCTATTATTTGATATCAAGGCCAAGCTTTCTCGTGTATGTGTATTTACGAGAAATACATTTACTCACATATATATATGTATATGTACATACATCTACTTGTATATATATTATATGTGTATATATGTCTTTAGGAGACAACACAGAAAAAGAAAGAAACTGGTCTTGTTGACGAAAAAGGCAATCCACACCTTTGAACAAAATACTATAGCTTTTTTTCTAGTACTTTTCTATGCTTTTTTTAAATTTAAGTGCAAGCTATCAATAATCTTTAAGTATTATTCTATAGCACAGACCAACCCCATGAGAAAAGGAAATTTTGATTTGAAGTCTGGGGAGGTCCCACACCTTGCCAAGTGCTCAGGCTCTACTCCTGGTCTAGTGCTCAGAGGACCATGCAATGCCACGTATCAACCTCAGGGCTCCCGCATGCCCCCTTTGAGCCATCTCCCTTGCCCCTACATTTTGATTTGGGGATTGGGGGGTGGTTAAATAAGAACTTCAAAGAGAGAATAAAAAATTACTTCCCTTTAGGGGCCTCTTAAAGATGCTGAAATCAAGATGCTGATTTTTAAGTTTACCCTGGCATATTTCAGTGAGGCTGCAGATATAATGCTGAAGACAGGAGACTCTTACCTCCACCAGCAGGTCCACGACATCCGTGGGCATCTTTTCGATGAGAATCTCGATGACCCTCAGAATCTCCCCTTTGGCTCGCGCGAGAGCTGTGGTGTGGATGTTTTGCTGAGACTGGGTGTTGGCGGCCAGGGCCGTGTGTCTGTGCACCTGTGGGGACAGTGCCATGCTAGACATAAGGGGACACTGGGCCGAGCTTTACATCTCTAAACAGAGATGGATTTTCACTCACCAGTGCCAGAGGTGGGAAGAAAATATGTGTGTGTGTGGGAGGCGGGGGAGGGGGGACACATATCAGAGGCCAGAGAGATAGCACAGCGGGTAGGGCATTTGCCTTGCCTGCCGCTGACCTGGGTTCAATCCCTGGCACCATGTATGCCCCCGCCCAACTGAACCAAAACAGAGACAACAAAAACAAATCTACCAGTGAAGGAGTACCCGCAGGGTCAAGAAATACTTCTGGCTTAAAATTGAAAGTGTTTAGTACTGAATGTGAGTGAATATTATGAGTAAAACTTCCTTTGTTCCTGGACACTGTGAGACGGCATCTGTTTAGTTATGTGTTTGGCTGGTGGTAGGGCCGCTCGCTACAGGCTCCAGGGATCATGTCAGGAACGGGGGTGAGCCTGGGTTGGAAGTATGCAAAGCAAATGCCTTCAACTCTGTACAGACTCTTCAGCCCAAAACGTCAGCACAATAATGCCAGGGTGTTTTTAAGTGGAGACCAAAGACAGGCTGTGCATTTCACACATCTGGAGCTGGGAGGATCCCAGTGAGGGGTACCCACATGTGAAGGAGAGGATCATGGCTCACAGTAATAATACCAATGACGCTCGGATGGCCCTTCTAGAAAGAAGCCTGGGTAGCCTTCTAGGAATTCTATTATCAAGTGGGAAATTCAAGTGTACATGCCTCCGAAAATAATGAGCGCGTAAAGGAGATCAATTCAGCACCACTTCCCCATACAAACTGTAAGTGTTACAGTTCAGAGGAGAAAATATTAGCAGACCCTTGGACCAGCCATGAAGGAGTGGGCAGGGAAAGAAACAACGCTGAGGAATTCTTTCGTGTTTTATTCGAAAATGCCTAGTGATGAGGGAAGCTTGCTTTAAATGGTAAAAAAAGTAGACGATCACAGTAGAAACAAACAAAAAACCCTTCTACTCAAATGCTGGGAGAGAATAAATTCAAAGTGTACTGAGTCTAACAGCTGATTTAATAAGTACTCATCTACAACTAGGACGCTGGTGAGGTGCGTGCCGGGAGGTCGCACCCAAGTTTGCTTCCTGCCACCATCTGGTCCCCGAGGTTCTCTTTGGAAGTTCCTGAGCAACACAGGTGTGGCACTGGAAGCCTCTAGCACTGCTAGGATGACACAGCTCTCCTCAGGACCACAGGGCCAAACCCATATCACATTCTTGCATTAAACTGCCGGCTTAACTGTCCAAAATTCACTGCTGTGGGGCTATCCAGACCTGAGCATTGCTTGGGAGGGACCAGTGCTCATATATAAATATATAGACTCATATAGAAAGATGCAATTAAAGTGAAAATACAATGAATATAGACATTTGTTTACTCTCCGTTTTTGAAAGGTTTAATGATGCTGTTTAATGGCAGCACTCAGAGGACCTTGCTGATGGAGGGCTTGCTAAGTGTCCTCAATGTTACTCCCGTGTCTGTTAGCTTAGGCAGAAGCACTGAATGTGAAAACCAGGCAGCAAGATTAACACAAAGGCCTTGTCAATAAATACGTTACAGTGGACCTGCCCAGTAACACCATGCTAAGGAAATACAAGGAAAATACAATTGCCTTAGTCTCCAGATTCATTTTAGATCTGAGAGCAAAGCCCCATCGCCTTGGAGGGCCCCAGACAATCTGCTTGCATGACTTCTCTTCCTCCTTTCCAACTTCTTCCTCATCACCTGCCCACCCGCTAAGGATCCTTCTGGGGCAGATGTGGGCCTGGTAGGTTTCAGACTACCAAAGCAGACTCTTTTGCTTGGTATTTTAAATATTCATCATAGCTACAGGAAAAACAAACTCATATAGAACACAGACCACATGGACACTGAGTCTGCACATTATCCATGCTGAAATGGAACAAATCTCTTAAAAAAAATGCAAGAGAAACAAACCGCTTAGGTGCTGTTCATCCTCTCTCTTTCCTCCCACTAGTAAAGACCTATGGGGAAGATGCTATAATTGGTTCATTGTTCTTTACTAGTTTTTCAGTTAGATGTGGGCAATTAGTTAGAACACTAGGAACGTGGGAATCAATTGGCATGCAAGTCTTTATCTGTGACATGGAATAGGAAAAACAATTAGCAAGTTTATGACTTACATTTTTGTTTACAGTTGGGAGAGCCAGTTGTTAACTACGAAGTTCAGGTTTGATTACAGGGAGAGCCTTGTACTTGTAAAAGGCCAGCCCCTTTCATAGGGATTAGTCTGAAGATGCCCGCTACATTTATGATGGGAAAAGTCACTGTCAAATATTTATAACCGAATCACCTTTGAAAGCTGAAGTGAGCACCCAGCACTTTTGGCAAATGCATAGCTGTGGAATTTGGGGTGCAGGCAACTAGCCTGCGTGCCCTTCCCCCACCCTCGGCCCAATACTGAAAAATTAGCCTGCATTGTTCTCTCATAAACTGGAAGAATTCTGTTTCTGAGGACCTGGGCCCACAGCCCACACTGGCAAATCCCTCCCGTGGCAGAGAAGACGGAGCCCGGGCCCAGTTCTGCTCACCTCTCTGGCTATGGTGGTGATGAAGGCGGGTGGTCTAGCCGTGGCAATGAGCGACAGAGCGTGCCTGGCGGAGCGAGCAGAGTCAGCTGCGGGGCTCAGAGGCAGCCCCATTGTGATGCTAAACAGCGATGGGGTGGGGGGGGGGGGGAGAAAAGGGAAAAAAGAAAAGAAGCATTAGAAATATAGACTGCAAAGATTAGACACAGCTTATAATGTCAGCTCAAGGTCAATGGGAGCACTCAAACAGTTCGAACATAATGGACTGGCCACAATGAGCCGTGATTAGGAGTCGGGGTGCCTGCATCAAATACGAAATCGAATAATTAACTGTGAAGACGGAAAGCCGTGTGTGCAGCTCTCCAAAGTGTAAAAAACGCCTTGTTAACAAATTATCAAGAATTAGTGCTGAATACACACCACAGAGCTCGGAGGAGAGTGAGGACTGGTTCCTTCAAGAGGCAAGAGGTAATAATGGTATATGAGGCTCCATACAAAGATTATATTTAGGGTCGGAACTCAGTAAGGAGAGCTGTCCAAATAACTACTGAAATCACACTGACAATAACTTTTAGTTTGTATGTTATTTGAAATCTCAGCACTGTGAGTTCACCTCACACAGGAAACCCTCAGAACTAATCTCATCACCTCACTCTGCCAACAGTTCAGTTCAGGCGGGAAAGAATAGACGGTCTGAGGCTGGAGCAATAGTAGGGTGTTTGCCTTGCACACGGCTGACCCAGGTTCGATTCCCAGCATCCCATATGTCCCCAGAGCACTGCCAGGAGTAATTCCTGAGTGCAGAGCCAGGAGTAACTCTTGTGCATTGCTGGGTGTGACCCAAAAAGGAAAAAAAAAAAAGATGATCTGTAACTATGGAAGGGGCCAGAGAGATAGCTCAGTGGGCCAAGATGCATCTCTGCATGAGTCGCCAGCACTGCATGGTCCCTGGGGCATTGCAGGGAGCAAGTAGAGAGCTAGAAGTACCATAGAGGACTTCCAGGTGCGGTCCCCAAACAAAGACAAACAAGGGCATATGCCATGCACAAAAGGCGAAATCAACTGTTCCAAATGAACTTTCCAAACTGGAGTGAGAAATGCTATTCTCTCAGCTCAAACATAAAAATGATAATATGCTTCTGCTTCCAAGTTCCTGTCACATTACACAGATTGGCAGGACAATTTCTGAAGACTTTTAGTCCAGATGTGGCAAGTGCTTCTCCGTGCCACCCGCATTCTGGCATCCTGTTACTCTGTAAGAGCCAGGAAGTTTCCTCCTCTGGCTAGTTTTAATCCTGAAATCACGATAAGAAAGCATATGAAAACCTATCCTTTCCCAACTAAGTTCATGCCTGTGCCTTGTTACATTCACTAGAAATTCTCAAAACGTTTACGGGTATCTCTACACTTGATCCAAGGAACCATTATTTTATCTTCTAGCTGAAAAAAGAAAAGGTGGCACATAGACATTCCCCTCACTGTCAGAAGAAGGGTAGATTGTAGAGAATTCTGCTTATCATTCCTTACTGTCGTGCTGCTGAAGTCCTTGATAATATAACTGTTCCTGTAATTTTTTTTTCCAGACTGAGGGTAGATACAAATCAGGAACTTGGGGGCAAGGAGGCGGGCTGCTTCCTTTGATGCTTATCACTTACAAGAAAAGTGAACTGAGAGACCAATTACACACACTCAACAACAAACAGAAGGATGCACTGATGGGAATGTCACCCCCAGGAAGAGCTCTGTGTCCTGGGGACCAGGCGGACCTCAGAAGAGGTCTTCATGGGAAACAGGGGGAAAGTCAGCTCATTTCTCTTTTGCATTAAATGTACTTTAAAAAAAAAGGTAAAGGTAAAGGTAAAGGCCCTCCCGTTGATCGTCGATTTGCTCGAGCGGGCCCAGTAACGTCTCCATTTGGAGACTTTGTTGTTACTGTGTCTGGCATATCGAATACTCTCGGTAGCTTGCCGGGCTCTCCGAGAGGGGTGGAGGAATCAAACTCGGGTCAGCCATGTTGGCCGCTTGTAAGACGAACGCCCTACCCGCTGTGCTATCACTCCACATTGTTTTAAAAAAAAAAAACAAAGATTTTACTCTTTGTCTAAAGAAATGTTGACGAGGTGAGGAGGGCTAGGATGGACTGCATGGATAATTATATCCAAGTTGAGATCATATTTTTTTTTTTAAAAAATCAAGCTTTAAAAAAATTTAAAGGCTGGGGCTAGAGTGATAGCACAGCAGGTAGGGTGTTTGCCTTGCATGCGGCCAACCTGGGTTCGATTCCCAGCATCGCATATAGTATCCCAAGCACCACCAGGAGTAATTCCTGAGTGCAGAGCTAGAAGTAACCCCTGAGCATTGCAGGGTGTGACTCAAAAAGAAAAAAAAATCAAAAGCTAATGAACCATTTCAGACATTCTACAATGGGGGCAGAGACAGTATAGCAGGTAAGGTGCTTACCGTGTACTCAGCTGACCCAGACTGGATCCTCAATAGTACATACTGTCTGGTGAAGTCTAAGTGATCCCTTAGCACTGCCAGGTGTGGCCAACTGACACTACCACCCCAGACAGACAGTCTATGATGATGTTTGCTTTCTGGCAGCAAAAGGAACAGGAGTTGATGATAATGGAAGCCTAGGGGTGGTTAACAGATAATTCTAAACAAAGCTAAATGAAAGTCACAGGCCAGCAGGGAGAGGGAACGCCGACTTCCTGGAGAACAAGGGACCTGCAAAGAGATCCAGACACTGAGCCCCAGCTGACGCTGGCCAGCATCCTTTCAGTCTCTCTGGAATCTGGCCCAGAGCATCCCTGAGATGTAGATGACATCAGGACTTGAGGGATGAGGAAGCGGGCCAGAGGGCCACACTGCGGAGAACCGGACAGATGAACTAGGCACAGAAGAAGCTCAGCGGCTCTGCACAAATGGCTGCAGCGCATCCAAGAGAGGGTCCCCATGGAGCACTGTGCATGGAACATGCCCGAGAGGATCCCCGTAGAGCACTGTGCATGGCCCACAGTCCTGTTTGCCTCTGCATTGAGATTGATTTGGGAGGCACAGTGATGGGTGGTAAAAGTCGTAATTGAAATAACATGAAGCCTGCCATAGCCGTTCCACCAGACTCTGTGCCAGGCTGTTTTACTCGGTGTGCCCCAGAGGGGTGCGGGTAAAAGACCTCCCCACCCCAAGGGACCCAGCCCCCGCAGCCGAACAGCTCCAGAACCCAAGTGCCGCCATGCTCAAGGTCACTTCACCACGTGACACATCGCAAGACACTCCCTACCCATTCTCCATAGTACCACACCATATTTGATGGGGTTCAGATAGTAAGCAACAAATCATAGAGGGAAATATATATATATATGCATATATACATATTTTTATATATATACGAAAGCTGACATCACTCAACTTTTAACAACATGTTAGTGATATCCTAAAGAATGTCTTAATGGCCCCTGTCAAAACAACAATCTTCACACTGTTTCCAATATGAATACTTTTTTTGTAAGCATTTTTCAGCGGTTCTTCATAACAGACAATACAAAATATATTCCTTCAGTTGTGTTTTGGGACAGGGCTTGGGGCTTGGGATGGAAACATCCTGATTTTGGTGGCAGGAAGGTGTAATGGTAGTGGGATTGGTGTTTGAATATTAAATGTAATCAAATATTGTGAGCTACCTTATAAAATAAAAAAAATGTACAAAAGTCGTAATTGAAAAAGTCTGTTGAATAACAAAATGGGAACCCCTAACTCCTCGAAGAAGATCATATTTGTCCAGCTACATCAAGCAGTCTGATGTGTGGGCACCAAAACCAGTTCCACGGGGCAGGGCAGGTGGGCAGGGCTGGAGAGGTGGCACAGTGCTCCATGAGCATGGGAGCCTGCTCTGAGGCTGGCATGTGGGGCAGGGAGAAAAAGGATGAGGCAGGACGAAGAGAAACACAGGGAAGGCTCTTGCTTCCCTGGGTGTCCTTGTGGGTCTAGAAGCCTGACTCCCTCCCCAGCTGCTCCTGGTGGGGGAGAGAGAGCAGCTGGCTTCTGCAAACCAGAGTGCTGAAGGCCTAGCCCTTCCCAGAAATCTGCCTGCCCAACCTCAAGCACTGAGAAAGGAGTCTTGCCCCACCAAGCGAGATCCTACCTGCAGCGAGGTTCCCGTCTAGCCCTTCTCTGCTCCTGGCCTGGTGGAGACGCCTAATGAATGACAGGGAAGGAATATCCATGTGTGCCCCTAGGTGGTTACAGTGTATGTGTGTGTGTGTGTGTGTGTGTGTGTGTGTGTGTGTGTGTGTTGGGGGGAGGGGTGGTCACCAAATAAGAATTTTAAGTCTGTGCCACAGTGACAATACCTAAGCAGGCACTGCAGCCCCCTGCCCCACCAACCCGGCCTGAGGCTGTGTCCTATGGGCAACACAGAATGAGTCAGGTGTGTCTGTGAAATGGGTACAGGAAACACTTCACAAAACTGATGAGGAGACTAAATGAGAGCCAGATATGCCACCACCTTACACTGCAGCTGACTCACAGGCCCTAGGAGACTGTTTCTGACCACAGCTGTTCCTCATAAATACAAAGAGTTGAAAGGAAGAAATCAACTCCGAGGGTCACTGGCCTCCTGGGAATGTCACCCTCTGTTGAGCTCAGCAAAGGATCTTGGGAATGGCAAGAGACTGGCCAACAATGACTAAGAAAAGTGGAGCAGTCTGGGGCCCAGGCGAGAACAGAGGATCTTGGGGACAAAGTGGCCCAGAGACGTCGGGTTGAGTGGAGGCTGGGACATCCAGGGCCCCTCACCTCCACAGGAGCAGACTGCAGAGGGGGAGCCAGACATCAGGGACCACTGTGACCATCAGAGCAGCCATGGACAGAAGCAGAACAGGGCTGTCAAAGCACGGGGGAACGTGGGAGGCCATGTCACTGGCTTCCAGGCTTCAGTGGGGGACCAGGAGGTGGACAGGGGTGAAGGCCCCCGCCAGGCATACGCCCAGCCTGGGTTCAACTCCTGGCACCACGCAGTTCTGCAAATATTGCCAGGTGCAGCCCCGGAGGCCTTCGGTAGGGCCCGGGAAGCCTTAGAAACTGAGCAGCAATGTTCCCTTGGGCTGGTGCTGAACT